CTACTGGCAGGGATTTCTTTTGAAATATATACTTGTAAACTTTTCTCAAGGAAGTTGTGAAGGTTTATAATATCTTTACAACTTGTAGAAATGTGGAATTAAGTGGATATCCATTTTTTGAATGTTAGTGATAACTTGTAGAAATATCTTAGAGTTATAGTACTTTACACTCTTTTGGAGAGTATTTGTAATAGTTGTAAAGGTTGTAGATTTATGTATATACAATATAGTGTTTTAAAGATTATTAGACAACTTAATGTATGAATTGTTTTGCATGAAAACTTTTTAGTAATAACTACCAAAAAGAAGGGTATTACCGACGGTCGTAGGCCGTCGAAAACAACCAAAAAACCGTTGGTAATGCCTATTATCGAGGTCGTTGATAAATCGTTTGTCGCTAACAATTACCGACGATTTTTGCCCTTCGATAATTAACGAGGGTTAAAAGCCTTCGGTAACACCAACATATACTATTCACATATCCCACCTCAGGAAATTGCAGCAAATGGAGCCCCAGTGCACGTTTATCTTCATTATCCAATACAAGAATTTCATAAGAAATTTGTCATTTTCTACTTAATCTACCTAATGATTGTATAGATTAAATGTCAATTAAAATGACAGATGTAATATATATATATATATATATATATATATATATCGCAATTAATTAAAATAAATAAAATAAATATAAAAACTGAGATGATGAAACTTAGTAAATAAAATTTTCTACATTAGATAGCCAAACCAAAAGAAGAAAAAGACAAATGTGAAAAAGGATGGGCAGTGCATCCAGGCTACACCATAATATATCAAAATCCTATTGTCAATATCAAAATCAATTACTGGAAGCTTAGACAAAATCCTATTGAAACATATCTCCTTGCTTTTACTTGATGAATGACTTCTACTCTTGGTTAATGTGTAGTTCTCCCTGAATCTAATACTCACACTGCCAAAATCCAAGCTTTCACTGATTCGTCTAACAGGTTTCTTCGTATTTACATCCTGCAACATGTTTTGCTCATCCAGTTTCAATAATGATAATACTGGATTTGTAGACTGTTCATTTATCTTTTGCAAAGCAATGCCAACAGGGTACTTGGTGGCAGACCTTACTTTGCCAGTATCACTTCCTGCCTTACTTTTGATAACCAAGCGATGAAGCCATACAAGAAGTTCAAGAATATAATGTTCCACTTTGTCTTTATCTGCATGGTGAAAGGTCTCAACCCGCATTGCACCAGACTTCCTATTTATCTCAAAGCTTCAAGAACAAAGCAAGTATGAAAATAGGAAGGGATTAAAGCAAGTATAAAAACATTCTGGACATTAATATCAGAAAACATAGACAAGTCAATACCCAAGGTTCAAGTACAAATTGCTACTGCCGTAAACAAGTAGAAAAAGGTTGCTGGCAACAATTAGTAATCATAAGATACCATGGCCCTTTTTGCAGCATCCACTAAGTCCCCTCCTACCCAGCCAACCCAGCTTGTGGTAAAATCTTTTCAGCACCAAGAGTGATCCGAACCCAGTCTTCCAAGGTTTCACAGCTCCATCAAACAAGCCCATCTGATATCAAGATCATCCATCTGCACAAAACAAACAGAATAAAGCATCAAGGCTCCATAGCGAACCCAATAATCCATCAAATTTAGTGCATTCAACCCAAGAACACATCCCTAATTTCCAAATCCCTTTTCATCCTACCATCCAAATCGAAGATCAACAACAACTGTACCTTTCATCAACCTCCATCCGATGAACCCGTCGTTGATACTGTCAAGCTTCAGACGTTGCCGATGCATCTTGGATCACCATCGTGCCTCCCCTCCACCCTAAATCTCCCTCGCCGCCGTCGCTCCAGAGCCGCCATCTTCCCCGCGCCACCAATTTCGCAAGAGCAGAAACACGAAACACACAGAAAGCACACCCCTCGCGAGAGTCACCTAATCGTGATCTTATCCCCTTCGCAGACCGGCAGAGCCACCACGAAAGCAGCCGTAACGCGTCCATCACCATTGCAATGCTATTCGCTCTAGATCTACCAGCCTTCACTAGACAGTGAGACTCTCGTTGCCCGCATTCCGGACATCTCCTACGAACCCGAAAACCTGCGCAACGAACCCAGCCGCAAAACCCCCAAATCGGCGTCAACCAACCAAACCGCAGAACCACCAAACCGGCCTCAACGAACCTAGGCGTAGAACCCCCAAACCGCCGTCTTCAATCCCAGCCAAAGAATCCCCAAACCAGCGTCAACCAACCAAGCCTCACTTGTCCCATAATCGCTCAATATTGGAGGGCACAATGGAGGGCACCAACAGAATAGGGAAGGTGTTAGTCCAAAAACTTGTTGGGCTCGAATTCGGCAAGTGTACCGAATCGTTCAAGTAATAAACCGGTAAGACCGGGTATCGTTTTCCCAAGAAACTCGTAATACTAGAGAATGGTGCGATTAACAACTCATGTAGACTCAAGAACACAACATCAATTTACAAAACAAGTGCAGAAATGTAAATTCATACATAATTACAAGGTTGGACTTTGGTATTGAAGGCACTTGGAAATGGAAAGACTAGAAATGGTGTGAAATGACATTGCTAAGGTTAGTTTTCACCAATGCACTCTTGTGTATAACCAATTTCATCTCCTCTCTATCAATTTACTAAAGTCAATCCACTAAAACACTCTAGCCCTAATCCCTTAGGTGAAAGAGCCTAGGTTTTCCTTATCAAACTCCAATCCCTTGGACAATCTAACAAGCAAAACCCGCATTAAGAACTAGGATCTAAGACAACATGTGAATCATCTTCCATCCCTAGAATCAATGACCCACAAGGACTCCTATTTCAGTTCAAGGTTTCATCTTACGTACCCATAATCCATAAAACCCCAAAATCAAGTCATGAACGTCCCCATTACATGCAAGCTTTAAGATTGGAAACAAGAATACTAGCAATTGATAGAAAAGGCATATATATATTCAAATCATTCAACAATTACACAAGAATTCAAAGGCTACATCAATCCCTAACAAGATGAATCTGGTTCTCCATTTCCATGGAGAACCCTAAAGCTTACAAACATGGAAGATGGAAGAAGAAGGAGACCCAAAGGAAGAGGAGGAGATGTTCCCACAAGCTCCTCACGCCCTCCATGAGCTCCAGCCGTGAAATTGCACCTCCAAAGAACCAAAGACCCAAACCCCTTCGCGTTTCTGGGTCAAATAAGCTGTCTGCAACATCAGTAAAAATCGCGCTCGGGCGCGAGACTCTCTGGAAAGTCACACCCGGGCGCAAGCCACTCTGGAACTGAAAGCGGACGAGCGTCCGCTTCTGCTGGGCGAGCGTCCTCTCGTTTCTTCGCTGGACGAGCGTCCACTGCGCATCTCTCAAGACGAGCGTCCTCTTCTGCCTGGCTGGACGAGCGTCCACTTCTGCCTGGCTGGACGAGCGTCCTCTCTTCTGCCTTCTGGACGAGCGTCCGCTCGTGCTTCCACTCTGGACGAGCGATCGTTCTCTCTGGCCTGCGCTGGACGAGCGTCCACTTCTGTGGTCGAGCGTCCTCTCTGTTTCCAGGACGAGCGTCCACTTCTGCTCGCTGGACGAGCGTCCTCTCTTCTGCCTTCTAGACGAGCGTCCGCTCGTGCTTCCACTCTGGACGAGTGTTCGTTCTCTCTAGCCTGCGCTGGACGAGCGTCCACTTCTGTGGTCGAGCGTCCTCTCTATTTCCAGGACGAGCGTCCACTTCTATCTGAGTTCTGCATGTGCGACGAGCGTTTCTGTGTGCCTTGTGGTTGGTTCATCTCTATACATTCTTGGAGACTCTTCCAAGCTCATTTTTAGCTGCAAAATAAGGGATTATTGATGAAAGTACATCAAAGTAGCCAAAAACACAATTATTTAGAAAACAAGACAAAAGAAGAGGAATAAACAAGTTATAAGTTAGAAAGGAGTTGATTTTGCTACTAAAATGATGCTTAAATAATGGTAAAATTTAGCATTATCAGAAAGGAAGGGGGAAGCTTCAGAGAAGAGAACAAAGGAGAGGGAAATTGGAAAATTTGGGAAAAGGTACGAACGAATACCCAATTCTCGTGACTTAAACCATCATGGACATTACCGAAGGCCTTGAGACTGGCGGTAATTTATGTCGACCAAGCATTATCGAAGGCATTGAGGCCGTCGGTTTAAGGTCGTAGATAATTAGCACGTTTTCTGTAGTATATAAATTGTTTGAAATTTGCAAATAAATTGAATAAACAAGAATAAGGTAAAACTAAACTAAACTTACTATGAAAAATAAAATTTAAACGTACTAATCCAGTTATACTTGTTATAGTAAGCCCATTTATTATGACAGATCTCCAAATACTTGTTATAGTAGATTTATTTTGTATGATAGGTCTCCTAATACCTATAATGATAAGTTGAACTTATTATGACAAAAATTATCATAATAAACTAAACTTATTAATATTTTTTAAAAACGGTCATAGTTGAATTTACAATGATTGGTTACTCGTTTACCTCCTATTTATTATATAGATTTTTACAGCATTATAAAAATAGTAAACTTTCTATGACTCTCACAAATTTGACTTCGGAATACTTATCATAAACATTTCATTTTACCTGCAATAAAATGTTCGGGATAGAGAAGTGATTAATTTTGAACAAAAATAACCAAATTCGAATAATATATATGAAATCAGCACTAGTTTAATTCCTCGTAAAAGTATGTTATTTTGTTCAATTAACCATGATGCCGGATATATTAGTAGAAGCTGGAGATTAAACTTGCATTAGAATCTGCAACCTTTAGTTTATATGGTGTTAATTTCTTTTATAGCCCTGAAATGTAATACTTAAAAGTGGCAATCCAAATTAGTCCATAATAGAGAAAATAAGTTATACAACTATAGAACAATGATGAAGCTAAAAGGGCCACTAATTAATTAATTATATATATATATATATATATATATATATATGATGATGATGAATTTCATGCATGGTCATGACACCTGTCCCACCAATTTCATGGTATATATGAGTAAATTGCATGACATTGACATTAAACCAGTTGTACGGAAATGCTACACCAATGTCTCATTAGACATAGCCGGGACCTACTTAATTTTTTCTGACTTTCTCATCTCATTATATTGTGCCTTCCACGTCACTTTTTTATATTATGGCCATGCACTACTTAAGCCTTATTGTCATCGTTATCATTCCTTGGAGCTGTGACCGGTAGCTGTCGTTGATCTTCGGGAAAGTTACCCTCTGTAGGAGATGGTGGCGTCAGACCTCTGCGTTCTTTAGCTTTTCCCCACACTACTAGATAAAGCCCCAGCACAACAACTATTGCTCCAATTATACTGATATATCAAGCACACAAATAAGGGAAATTAATAGGGTTAGTAAAGAGAAGAAAAAAATCTGGACGATGAAGATGTGAATTGAACCATTTGCTACTTAATTTGTAGTACCTTCCAAGGTAGAGTTGCTCAGATAGGATGATGCAGGCCAAGCCCGTAACAATGATCATACGCAGAGGATTGAAAGCAGTCACAATAACTGGACCCATGGATTTTATCACCATGCCTTGTATATAATACTGAACTCCTGATGTAACTATTCCCTGTAATGAATCAGTAGTAGGTTAAGAACACTGATTAAGAAAACAATAAGGTTAGAAAAAGGGAGCATGGGTGCAATACAACTGCAACTAGGATGGTGTCGTAAATTATGGTGTCATTTTCAGACCAAACAGTTGTGTTAGGTACTTATTACTGTACTATGAATCCAATCCAAAAGCACTGACCGCGTAAGCAGGGGCAAAGAGTCGTGTGTCCCAACCAAGGGACCAAGCATGAGGGTGGTGGCGTTCTGCGAAGATTGCAACAATAGAGCTTTGAAGTGCTCCTACAAAGCAAACCCAAGTGGCCAACGACATCTCTGCTGGGTATTTTCTCAATGTTATGGCCTACATATCACCAAACCACCAATCATTAATTTCTCCAAAGATATGCACAGATATTTCATCTTATTATTATATGTGAAACTTAATTACTATAAGAAGGTGCGTTATATACCTGTAATATGTAAAATGCAGAAAAGCCTGCACAACCAATGAGGAGGAACACTGTTCCTATTACCCAATGGTTGCCAGTGGGGTTGGTCACGTTCTCAGTTTGGCTAGCATGGCTGGTCGAAGATCTCATGAAACTGAGGACGGGGCCTTTGTACAGTGCCATAAGCAAGGTTCCTCCAAATGTTACTACGGTGCCAATCACTTTCGCTTGACATGCTACCTCCTTAATTTTCATGTGCTCCATTCTGCTCATTAAAAAAAAAAAATTAAATGTTTATAACTATGATTCTCTTCCAACCCATAAAACAAAAAAGAAGATTTGTGCTTTTGTCGTTATTACGTGTCTATACGTTTTTCGCACTAGTGCTTTTGTTTTGAATGCTAGATTGAATCAAGAGGAAAGGTGCATTAAGCATATCTATATTGTGGCTGAAACACTCCACCTAAAATTATATGTTGTGGCTGAAACTTTCCGTGTTTTTCTGGTCATTATAATTTTGTACCTTTTCCACATTTCATAAATATTGGTTTACATCTTTTATCCTTTGCATAAAGTATACCTAAATACACTTATGTTATTTTTTCTCTCTTATATCAAGGCACCTGATTCATACAATAAGAATTGATATTACATAACAAATGTGTTATGAAGCTTTGATAAAAAAAACAAAATAATAATAAGATCATCACTTAGTTAATCAGTTTAAAACATAAAAGTTCCGTGTCTCGCTTGATTTTGTAATACAGTGTTTTGTAAGCTGTAGACATGGAAGTGGTAAGTTGAAATTAGAAGAGGACTCGTTATGCGTTTTCTACTGCTAAAGTGGGTGCTGGGAAACTTAGAAAATGACGTACAAACATACTCTTAATTTCTTTCTAGCGAAATTCATAAGAAGGATATTAAGATTCAAGGAAATGGAATTAATTATAACTATAGCTTACCGTTCAAGTTTATGTTTTTAATTTTTTTCTCTTTAAGAAAAATGGTACATAAAAAGTATTGGAAAAGGACATCACTCCATTACAAGGTTACGTCATATCAAGCTTCAAAGATGATAGAAAGTGGTACTTATAAATCAGAGAAGAGCGTGTATGAAAATTATACTATGAAAAAATTGAATCCTCATATTATTTATAATAATATATTTTAATTAGATATTTTTAAAATAAATAAATTTAATAGCTTTATATTTAGTTTTATAAATCTTTCTTTGATTCTCGGACTTTAAAAACAATGAATTAATATATTCGGTGTTTTCTTGAAATTTATACTACCAAAGACAATACTAGCGTTGGTGGGACTTTACCTAAACCTTTCTATAGAAGCATTTTGATCCATTACTAACCAATACCCTATGGACAATTATTCAGAGGCTTTCTTTTATTTATTAGATAAGCTTGCAGGTAAATACAATTGTTTTGATAATGTTGCATTATAGACCTGTATTTGGCATCTTCTCGCAGAGAAAGACAGAGTTTGAAGACGAAGGAATGTGTATAACAAATTAAATGATGTGACAGGAAGGAAAATAAGAGGAAATATTAAATATAAATGGAATATTTATAATAGATAAATAAAAAGTTGCTAGCTACATGTGCATCTTATTTCTAGGGTATATGTGAGTGGAAGGTAGACAAAAATAGAAAGAAAGTTTGATAAAAAAAATGTTGTAAAAGTGAAAATAACTTGTATTATTATTATTATTATTATTATTATTATTATTATTCTTACTTGATGGAATACTTACCCTAGAATGACTGCCATGACAAAAGTAATAGAGGGAGCAGAGTTCATGACAGCAGATAAGAAAGAAGCAGACGTGAATTTCATGCCCAACAGAGCGAAACACTGATCCAGTATTATTCTGCAAGTAGCATCGTATAATTTAATTAAGTAAACAATAATAAGAAAGTGAAAGTTGAATAGGTGTAAGAGAATCATACTCGAAGAAAGCCAGTGCCATAATCTCTGAAAATACTCTGAAAGTCATCTTGGGCCTAACTTTCCTGCAAAAATATTTGTTTTAGAAGAGCTAAATATGCTTAGTATATTATTCAGAAAACATTAAATGCGAAAGTGTCAAATGATGTATATGCATGCATGGAAGGTAAGTGGAAGATACCTTTCAAGAACAAAGGCGAAGGGAGCGAGAGTTATAGAGGCTATGGCGTTACGGTAGACAATGAAGACGTAATGGCTCATACCCTTCTTTATAGCATCCATGGCAAATATGAACATCCCAGCAGAACCAAATTGAACAGCCAATAACAGCAGATAGGGCCTTGCATTTCTCAACCACTCACCCATCTTTTTCTTCTTGATAACTCTCTCTTTCTAGTTCTTGATCCCGAGCTACGTCTGCGGGATCAAGTGAAACTGCTTCTGCTTGATTTTGTTTATCTGAAACTCACTGCGAAAGAAATGAAGGCCATCATAATATTTATACTCAACTGCTGAATATATTTAATTATATTTATAATCCAAAAAGCAGCTTTATAATTCCACTTTACACGTTCCTTCGCAGCAGTACTAACATAAACTAGTAGGCGGGGGCCGTGCATGATGTGATTAGTGTGTCAATATATACATACATATACATATATATTACATGTTTTTTTTATTTATGTAATATTTTCTTTTTCTATCTGAGTTAATAAAATTCTTTATAAATGGTGAACAATATTTTTATGTACAGTTTTGTGAATGCATTTTTCAGTGACAAAACTAATTGTTTACTTTTATTTTATCTTTACACTGCATACTTTACATGTGAAAGCGAATTTGCGTCGTGTGCACAACATAATTTGTTGGGAAGAAAAGAAGAGTAATGTCATTCTTGTAATGATTTTCTGTAATAACTTTCATGCACTTATCTTTTGTTTTTATCTCTTTTAACCGAATCAACCATCTTGTTTCATATTTTCTCTTTTCTTTCCATATTCTCAAACTTTGTTTACACACATATGGCACTCCTTAAAAAGTAATTCGTAAATAACTTTCTTTCTTTCTTTCTACTAACTTTTAACACGTTCGGCAGTACATGTTTGTTTTAGTTTTTTGAGAAAAAAAATATATTTTTTTATCTTTTTTTCAGACAATGTTCTTATAAATAGCTATTTCCATTTAAGATTAGTTTATTTTATCATTGAGTTTTGTCAAAATTTGTACCATAAATTTGAAAAATTATTTATTTTGAAATAAATGAAGACGAAAGAGTAAAAGAATATGACTTCTTTATAAGCCAGTATTTCACCACCCACATTTAATATGTATATGTTTGCATGTAACATTTACTTGTTTCTGTAACCTTGTAGGAATACAACATTGCGATTCAAAACCACTTCTTATCTAGTGAGACACTTAAAAATTTTGTGATATTTAATAAAATTTTAACTAATGATAAAGAATACATTAAGGGTGTGTTCAAGATTATGTTATATACGAACTTTCCTCAAACAACAAAATCTTATTTCTTCATTTGGTATCTTAAATATCATAGATATATATATATTAGAATTCGAGTATCACATTGTCAACTTTCATCCTCAAATAACATACTTTCTCTCATGCATTATGACGATTTGTAGGTGGACGGCAAAACTACTCAAAAATCACAATACTTTAAAGACATGGTTTATGGAAATTTTTCCTGAACTGTTGTCATCATTAAGATCACCCGTGTCACCCATTTTTTGAAAGAGAAAGTGACGTTTGATTGTGGCATACGGTTAAGTACACTCGAGCCAAGTACAGCCTAACAAAAAAACTGATGTTAAGTACATGATTCAGATTTTCTGATAAAGTTAATCGCGTGGTGGAGCTAATATTTCTTTGAAGAATTCAAGAATCGTATCAGATTGCTACAATGGCAAAAACAGAGTGAAGGAGATTAAAGAAAGGGTGATTGATTAATTGAGTAAGTAGTCGGTGTTTGGTATGAAAATTAGGGGCGAAAAGAAAAGGAGGAAAAATTGAGGAGGTAATAGTGCAGTGGAACATTGGGAAGAGACCAAATGCGAGAGTCGTAAGCAGTATCACAGCGGAGAGTGCACAAACATAGTTTGTGGAAAAATTGACAGTTGCCACTTGACTAAGTGGAAAACTGGGTGGCCACTTCGTAGAATTAGGTTGCGCACCATGTCACCATGCATACACATACGTACGGTGAGCCACCCGTAGAACCCAAGTTTGAATTTCCACCAAACACTATAAACCTAATCATTCTAACCCATTCTCTCAGTTTAAATCAAATTAATTAATTATTTTTTCTGATGATGTAATCACCTAGACTGCTCCCATATATCATGCTATTTTTCTACAATTTTTTAAAAAATAATAATTTATTGCATCATCATTAATATGTTACATTTTTTTTCATTTTGAAAAAAGTTCCGAGTTGCTGGTCTTCTTTTTGTTTGTTTTCTGGAGAGGATAAAATATTCTTTGTTTTTTGCGTCTTCTTTTTGTTTTCTTCTTTTAACCGTTATATCATATGATATCCATGACAGGTGATTCAAGTGATAACTCTTTCTTCAACATTGTAATAGAGTACGTAACGTAAGAAGGACAATTTCCAAACCATTTGACATATCACTCTTTTAAAATTGTGCTGGTGTAGGTTTTAAATGACTCAAAACTTCAGCCAAAAGAAGATTATGTCGAATGTGATACTGATTCGAACATAACAATCTAGTTTCAAAAGCCTACGAAAAAAACACTAAAATAGACCGCGTAAGATTCACTATCGACGTGAAGCACAAACCATTTATTACGTTAGTTTAATCTTTAGGTTATTAATTTTATATTGGTGTTTCGAATTTAAGTTGATAAGGAGTGAAATTGACAATGCATTTTCCTTTCATCCCCAGTAAAACATTCTACATTAATATATATAATTTCCTACTGAGATATATATTCGTCTTTTTTGTAGACATGCACCACTATGTATAAAAAATAATCAAACAGCTAATTAACTCGCGCAATAGCGATGGGTTCATCCATTAATATATAGTTATCACTTTCTAGGTGTTGTTAAATTTGATGAGATTTTTTGTCAAGTTGGATTTCTTTGGTGCGTTTTTCCCCTTTTCCTCGATTCAATTTGATGCTTTTTTCACCTTATCTCATCACTTTCACCGCACAAACTCCACCTTCTGATTTCATTTTCACTATTGATTAAGCTTTTGCTTAATTCAGCATTCGAACTACTGCCAAGGCTAGCCGCCATAGAATAATCCGCGTTTAGGACAGATTTTGAAGCACTATTGTATCTGTCATGCAAGAAGTTAAAAAATAAATTATAACATAATGCAAGCTTACTACTGTATATTTTATTATTTTAATTAATATCTATTAGTGCTTTTTTTTAATTTATTTTAATAATGGAAAGAGGTAGAATAAGGTTCCAAAGAATAAACTCTGCTTTTCTTTTGAAGGTAATAAGAACCTCATATCTCAACCAATCTTTGTGGCCGATGTAGTATTACTCTATAAACGTCTTTAACGACTAAGTTATGAAAGAAATCATGAGGGATAAATATTCACGTTAACGATTACTTATTAATGCATGATGAAATTTGGTGTAATTATGAAGATGTAAATATTAACTTGAAACACAAATATTCAGTTTCTAAATATAGAGTAGTATTATTAAAAGAGAATTGCATAGTAATAGCAAAAGATATACGATAATTCAATTTTACTTATGGATTATTGATAATTAAAAATTTGTCGATCAATGATGAATTTTATCAACAGTCACACATCCATTAATAAATATTCATCAATTCATATCTACTAGTAATTACTCATAAATTCTAATAATGGATAAAATTCTTCAGTAAAAATAATGATTATGTCATTTTTTTATTTTTCTCCTCCTCTCTTATCCACGCCTCCACTGTTATCGTCATCACCACATGAGTCAATTACTGTCACTTTTGACTCATCCTTCTCCTTCTTCTTTCCTACTTCTCTTCCTTTTTTCCTCTTTGTATCCCTCGTCCTCCTCTACTTACTCTAATTATCATTGTTACTACCGACCTTGACATCATGCTTCTTCTCTTCCACCTCCACCTTCTCCTCATTTTCTTTTCTTCTTCTCATTCATTTTCCTTCAATATAAATAAAATGAGTTAGATTTAGGAGAATTTTGCCATTCATTTACATATAGATAAATATGTTAAAACTCAGAATTATAATTTACTAATGAAATAAATCATCACATACATTACTAACAAAAGTACCAATCATTAATACAAATTATATCTGTATTTATAGAAATTTTCATCGATAATTTAAATTCTAAAATTCATTGATAAAATACATAAAATAATTTTGAATTTGTCAATAAATTTATTTCTGTATGAAAATTATTGTAATGTATATCCTGTATATAAAAACTAATGAAAATTACAACTATTTTTGAGTATCATATAACTAATTTCCCACATTCCACTCCTCCGTAAAAGAGGAATAGTAGTACTATATTTAGAATATATGCGGTAATGTATACGTGTAGAGCATTACAGATGTTGCAGCAACTTTTGGTTCCCAATAATATGTTTATATCGGGGGTTTGAAAACGATTTAGGTTTGTTTCTGTGCTATAAATTTTTTTTAAATCCTGAATTAATTATGAATTATTTTAAAAAATCAACATGATTATCTATAACATCTCTGATTACCTTGAACCAATAATTGACTTTCTTCATCGTGAAGTGAAGTTTTATTGTGATCAAAGAGATAAAGAATATTTTTGTAGGCTTCTAAGAATGGGAAATACATGGAGTTTTTCCTTATTTATAGATATATATTATTTTAAGTTTTCTCCATATAATATAATATTTTTCTTTATTGATAAAAAATATGTAAACTACCTGTAATTAAATGACAATATACAATATTTGTATTATATATTATTAATGGATTTAAATTAGATGGAAAAAGGTTAAGGAAGTGTTAACCTTTTTTAATTGGATTAGTGCTTTTTTTTAACTTTCAAAAGGAAAGAAAAAAAAATGTTGTCGTGAAAAAGTTTAAATTATTCATTATTTATGTGTTTAAAATGTTTTCAAACTTTAAATTTAAAGTTAACCGATTCAATTCTATCTCAAGTCCAAACATATTTCAAAGAATTTCTTTTTTTAAGAATTAGTTTGTAATGTAAAACTAATCTTTTGAAGGATAATTACAATTAAAGTTCAAGATCTTTATAAGATTATGGTTTTTGTAACACATGAATTATAATAAATTTGAAATCCAAAATATAAATAGAAATTATCTTTTTAATGATATCTACGTCTTAACTAGGTGATTATTAGTTTTAGAATTTTTAGATATGAAGATATCCTAGTTTCAGAAGAAGAAAACAATCAAATAGTATGATCAATTATTTATGTGCGTGAAGAATTGACTTCACGTAATACCTTTTATATATATACAAATGGAAATTATTATTTAATTAATTACATATATTAATTGGGAAAAGTGATTATGACAGAAGCGCACTTAGTTGTTTCTGCGCAGGGTGGTTGAAGTGCGTGTTGTTATGTTTTTTATTTGTTGTATTTTTATAATTAGAATAAGCACCCAACATCCTTGTGCTTAATTTTTATGTCCCCGCCCTCCCCTCCGGGGGAAGCGGCTATCAGAATCAATCTATCATATTTTCTTATCACTAATTTCTCATTAATCATATTTCATATTACAAATTACAAATTTCTTATATATTATTTTTCATATCTAATTTCTATCTCATCTGTTGTTTGTTGTTTATACTGATATAAACTGTCGGAAACTCCCACCAATTTCCCTAACTTTGTTTCTCATTCAAAATTTAAATGGAATTTTACTCTCATAGCCCAACAATGACTATTCATTTGGATGGATTTTCAGCGAAAATTGTAATGTTTATTCAATTCCTCTTATACTCATTTTTATCGCACACTTATTATATTTGTTAATTTTGTACTCTATTTTTTATTCTCTATTTTACCTATCTCGATCCACCCATCCCATTCATACTATAAAATAAGCACAATAGTATTTTGACACTAAGTTTTTTTACACCTATTTGATATTATTTTTCATTTTTTTCTTTACAAATACAATAAAAAAAAATCACCTTTCTATGTTATGGGACAAACATTTTATTTTATAAGACAATCAGTGCTCCAGTTACATGACTGTTACTCCTACAATGTGCAAAAATATTAGGTTTAATGTCTCGGTAGGTCCCTCTTTTCGGCGTGAATTTCAAATAGGTCCCTTTTCTTTTCGGCGTCTCAATTGGGTTCTTTTTTGTGTAAAATTGGAGCAATTAGGGGTCTGCCGTCAAATTAGACAAACGGCCGTTTAAGTTTGCCTACGTGTTATATATTAAAAATGATTTTGAATTAATTTTTGTATTAAAAAATGGATTTGTTCTTCAAGGGCAAAAAAGGAAAACTGGGGCAAACCCTTTTCTTCTTTTCTTCTTCGATTGGAAGCGCGGTTCTTCTTTTCTTCTTCGATTGGAAGCGCGGAGGGGAAATCCCTTCCGAATGAAGAACTTACAAGAGGTCACGATGCTATTCGCTATCAGGACCGCCGGCGACGACGCCGGTCACCACCATGGCTTCTCCCAGCGCCCCGCTTCACTTCGGGCAAAGCACTCCTGCACCAGCGTCCACAACCGTCGCGACCCCTCGAGATCTCCAGTCAGGCGACCGTTGCGCGACCACGCTCCGTCAAGATAGGACAGCCACCGGCGATGACGGTCACCATAGGAGGAAGATTTACCAGCGTCAACGCGACCTTCTCCTTCTTCGCTCTTCTCCGACAACCTAACTTCACCGTGCTTCTCACTGTTCCTGTTTTTTGACTGTTGGAGACATGAAGAGAAACTCAAAATTTGTTTTATTTGTGCCCGAGTGGTTCTTGATGGTTCCTAGTGAATACAGGTGAGTAGTGTGAGAAGTGTATGATAGATGATGAAGGCGTTGAGGTGGTTACGGATGAGAGGAGTCAAAGGTTGGAGTTTGTATGGTTGTAGTAGGCAGAGACTGGGAAAAAAATCTCTACATAATTGAGCTCAACCGTAATTGCAAACTAACTTTTAAGTGCCTTACTTGAGCTGGCATAATCCAAGAATAAACGAAGCAAACAAACAGAGGGCCAGTGAGAATGTGAACAGAAGTTAGACATTCTATTCCAACAACAATGCCACTTAGTGGTAACCAATGCTTGACCAAAAACGACAATATTAAAGGTTGTATTGAAGTTGAGCAGTTAGAGTGTTGATTCCAGATTTGTTGGGAAAAGAAGGAAAACCAAGGGTTTGCACCTAGCGTCACAACCGAACGGTATGAGTGCGTATGTGACTGGAGAACGAACGTCCCTAGACGAACGCTACGAACACACAGTACTGCAGCGTGGATGACCGAACGGTATGAGTAACATGTGCGACTGGAGAACGAACGTCCCTAGACGAACGCTACGAACACACAGTACTGCAGCGTGGATGACCGAACGGTATGAGTAACATGTGCGACTGGAGAACGAACGTCCCTAGACGAACGCTACGAACACACAGTACTGCAGCGTGGATGACCGAACGGTATGAGTAACATGTGCGACTGGAGAACGAACGTCCCTAGACGAACGCTACGAACACACAGTACTGCAGCGTGGATGACCGAACGGTATGAGTAACATGTGCGACTGGAGAACGAACGTCCCTAGACGAACGCTACGAACACACAGTACTGCAGCGTGGATGACCGAACGGTATGAGTAACATGTGCGACTGGAGAACGAACGTCCCTAGACGAACGCTACGAACACACAGTACTGCAGCGTGGATGACCGAACGGTATGAGTAACATGTGCGACTGGAGAACGAACGTCCCTAGACGAACGCTACGAACACACAGTACTGCAGCGTGGATGACCGAACGGTATGAGTAACATGTGCGACTGGAGAACGAACGTCCCTAGACGAACGCTACGAACACACAGTACTGCAGCGTGGATGACCGAACGGTATGAGTAACATGTGCGACTGGAGAACGAACGTCCCTAGACGAACGCTACGAACACACAGTACTGCAGCGTGGATGACCGAACGGTATGAGTAACATGTGCGACTGGAGAACGAACGTCCCTAGACGAACGCTACGAACACACAGTACTGCAGCGTGGATGACCGAACGGTATGAGTAACATGTGCGACTGGAGAACGAACGTCCCTAGCCGAACGCTGAAGGAGATGAACAGAGAAAGAGAGAGTAAAACGCACAGAAACAATATTATTCAGTCTGATTTCTTCAAAGTCACATTTACAAGAACAGAGGTTTAGAATTTATACAATGAAAAGGCAACTGGACAGTTAATTATAAACTGTCCTCTCTGAAACAATCATTACAAAACTCTAACACAAAGCTGCCACAGTCCTCTCTTATTTAGGTAATTTCCTAATCTAAACCGAACAAATCTAACCCAGAACTACATAAATCAAGGTAAATCAACAAAAACATAGAAAGCCCTTTGAGAGAAGTATAAGAATGATCCAGTTAAAGGGAAATGAAGCCATACAAGGTACCAAATCACTTCATCTTAGCCTCTGTAAAGAGAACATGACGATTAACCCTAGGATCAAATTTTCGAAACTCAAGCTTCTCTGTGAACTGTCTCGGCTTTCTCTTTTCATAGAAAAATCCAGTGCCGGCAGCAGACACTAGTTTCACAAACATCTGAGCCTTTTTCTTCTTGTCACCCATTCTTTACTCTTGAAAGTGATATCACTATCTATCACAAACGCAAGATCTGTAATGGAGGTGTTGTGAGACGCAAATCTGTGTGGTAGATGTTCGATTCGTCGCGCTGCTGCAGGTGCGTAAGGCTGCTCCTTCCACTGTTTGTCGTGGCTAACGCCGGTGAGGTGCGATTGGAGGTTATAAGAGGAATGGCAAAGAGAAGATGATATGAAGAGGATTATATGAAAAGGGTTTGCCCCAGTTTTCCTTTTTTGCCCTTGAAGAACAAATCCATTTTTTAATACAAAAATTAATTCAAAATCATTTTTAATAACACGTAGGCAAACTTAAACGGCCGTTTGTCTAATTTGACGGCAGACCCCTAATTGCTCCAATTTTACACAAAAAAGAACCCAATTGAAACGCCGAAAAGAAAAGGGACCTATTTGAAATTTATGCCGAAAATAGGGACCTACCGAGACATTAAACCAAAATATTACTATTTTTATTTCTTTTAAAACAAGACGATACATAACCACGTTTCTTAAAAATTGATGAAATTGTATTGGTAACTTTTACTTTGCATCTTCTTAATTTATCTAATTGCATCAGAAAACAGAAGAGGTATATACTAACCTGATTTTTTGCACCATAATTGTTTGCTGTACAAGCATGCGGTCTAAGTCAATCAAAATGGTATAATAACCAGATAAAAAACAAAAAGAAATTGAGGAAAATTTTGCAAGCAGTTCAAAAATGTTGTTTCTCATTTCATTGAAATAAAGAGTGAATGGGTTGGAGTGAGTTGGAAGGAGTGAACTATTTGATTGATAAACTACATTACTATAAAAATTTACATTTAGCTAAGAAATATTAAGATAGATATAAAGGATTAGCTAGGACAAAAGGGTTTGAAAAGAGAAAGCGTGGATGTGATAAGTATGAAATATTTGAAAAGGCGTGGAAGAATAATATTTCTCCAAAGTTAAAAACAAAATGACCAAAAAGATAAAATTAATAAAAAGAAATACGAATCCAGTTGACTAACATGATGTGGATTGATCTTATTTTCTTCTCATTAGTTTTGAAAATGTTATAGATAGTATGGTAGATTGTTGGAATATAGAGGGAGAAAAACTAGTGTGTATAAAGGAAAACTAGTTTTTATTGAGAAAAGTCTAGTGAAACAAATCTTTGTTGGTTATGACTTTGGAAAAATGATTCATAATATTAGCCCTTTATATAATCCTAGTCTTAGTTTCTTAAAGGTGATTTCTGACCTGTTGGTAGGGTGTAATCCTTTGACATTCAAAAACTTGAACCCAGATTTTTTTTCACTTGTAAAACAATTCTAAAGAGGCCATAAACTTCATATGCATTTTTTCTCTCTAATATATACGATGTACATAGATTTCATTATTTCTTTTTATAGATATGGGATATACTTTTCCATATAGATATGCTAATTTATTATCGTAATATGATTGACTCGTAGAAGATGTAAGAAAATAATAAAACTTTCAGTGAGTGCAACTAATTGCCACCATAGTTTCACCGGTTTGACTAAAATTGTAGAATGAATAAAGAACAAGAATTCTACAGAATTCAAGTATAACCTTTTTCATGCATACATATATAGACATATGCATTGCATGTAAAGATGGGTTATAAAAGAAGAAAGAAAGAAAAGAAAAAGAGAATTATTAGTTAAAGGTGAAAATTGCAGTTTGTGATTTAATTTGCATTATTTGTGTTCTTGGCTTGCACGTAATACAGAATTTCCACTTGTTAATTTGCTAGCTGGCTGGTTGTGGGTAGTTGCTTCCCATTCAGCATGCAACATCAACAGCAACACACGTCAGCAGTCAAAAGCTTGGAACATGCAATGAGGGCAACTTGGTCGTGCCTCTCGTCCATATATTATTGCTCTTTTAGAAATAATGAAGAAACATGAAAGAGGAAAAGCTGATTTTCGACTGTTCAGACTTGCTACCATTCATCACTACGAATTAATACGTCACCATCATTTTCTTAATGCTTTCTAATTCACTAGACATTAGTTCACGCCAAGGGAAAATGGTTATTCACTGTTTCATGCCTTTGTCTTGTTTCTTTCAATCTTCTCTGTCTTAATTACAGGCAAGCAGATTATAACATCAGTCAATCGCTAATTAGTTGGCTAATACCTTGTGGTGAATCCTTAGCCAACATTCAACATATGACTTGGATCCGTCGTTGATAGTTTACTCTCTCACTGATTGGACTTAACTCCTTGTAACTAGTTATGGAAGTTTTCAAACATAGACTTGTTTCGGGTTCTACTAGGTGGGAACATTCGTCTAAGATTTTCTTTAGCGTACTAGCTCTGTGTCGGACGATTGAATCATGTGTTGCACCAAAAAGAGAAGTTTCAGATTCTTTCCCATGTTTTTTTATTCATCACATTTTGTTATGTTGAAGCTCATAAAACTCACAACATAAGATTTTATAAAACTGATACTACACCCAAAACGTATACGTATACGTTCTTCTTAAATATAGAGCAAATCACTGTTTTAAAAGAGTTTATCGAAATTAACGAAAAAGTTCTTGAAAATATAATTTTTTTTAACCATGTATATAATTTAATTGATAAATATTAGCATGTATTTTTAGACTAAAATGACAGTAATTATTAAATTAAAAAAAATCAATAAAATAACTTGAAGTTTAAAAACTTACTGAAATATTTTTTAAGAGTTATGGAAACTACAGATTAATTTCATTTTGTAACCTCACATCTATATTTTGGGAATGAAAAATGAAAAATATTTAAAATAATTTGAATATATTAATGAAAAATTCACATATAATTTGACCTCTTCTATGCAAAATCAATCATACCTATAATATAATTTAGTCTTAAATATGTTGGTGATGTGAGAAGTGAAATAATGAGCAGTGAGTTCCAATGAGAATGGAAATTAGTATTGTGAGCTAACGAGAGTACGGATTCCGGTGTCCTCTCCACCCCTACCACGCACTTCATCCATGTCAGAAAACACTCATTTCTATTACCACTAGTGCAGCGAGGGGCTTTTACCGCGGTTCATTTTCACTATACGTCGCGGTTTCGGAACCGCGGCATATTCAGCCGCGGTAGTAAGTCAGACACTTTAGGCCGCGGTTAAAACCGCGGTATATAACTTCAGGAATATGCCGCGGTTGTATAGGAAACCGCTGCCTAAATTGATTTTTTTTAAAAAAAAAAATTTTAAAAATACAATATATGCCGCGGTTCAACCGCGGCATATAGACCGACGAATATGCCGCGGTTAGTGTCACAACCGCGGCCATATGTCTCGGTTTTAAAAAAACGAAGCACTATATGCCGCGGTTGTGGTTAGAACCGCGGCATATTCCCCTGCAGTTTTTTAAAATTGCAGGTCTGTTTTTGTGATATCCACTACCACAAAAACAGACCTGCATATAAAAACATGTACACAATCTCAATTTCAACATAACAAACACCTGTTCAAATGTATTTCAACATCAAATAAAGTACAAAGTCTAAGAAAATTCTATCTAATCAAATGCATTGTTTAAATCTAAATCTAAGAGCTATTGTATAATCTAACTATATACTTCGCAGCAGCGTTCCTAATGAATAATAGTGACTTCTCAGGAACTGGTGTAGTAGTCTTGAATCTCTGCAAAAGACAATTCATTTTAATTAGTGTATATGAATTCAACATTTGTTAAAAAATCAAAATTTGTTAAAGTTAAATATTACCGTTTCCCAGCGACTTGTGATGTGAGAACGAACAATATGGGTCATCCAATACATTACATAGTATCCACACTCATATGACCCATTTTGTCTGTTACACTACAATATATCATCACAGTTGATAATAGTTAGTGAATAACATTTGTTATAAAACAATTATAACAAAGTATGACTTTAGCATATGTCAAACCTTGAGAGAAATCCAAGCAATCTTTCTACTATTAACAATTGATCTCCCGTCCATCATCATACTTGCTGGAATAGAACTGTATATAAAAAAAGGTTTTAGCATTCAGTTATATAACAAAGAAAGTCCAAACATTGAGGTTCTTACCAATCAATTGCTTGTTTGAGTTGTGTGGGAGGAGGCCTGTGCAATGAGCAGAACCACAAAGCATAGTTGTCTTGCATAGACATAACAAGAAGTTGCCAATGGCGCCTGAAATTCATAATAACGTAACTATTAAATATTAAAATCACATATGGAACATTATTATGTTAACAAAGTTCACTTACCCGGATATATAAGGCAAAAAGTATATTTTCTTGCCCCTTCCAAAACTTCTTATCAGACTCATGTTGATATGCTCAAAATCATTTGATTCATGAATTGATTGGGGATCAATGAATCCATAATCATCAGAACGCCCCAACTTATTAGTGACCCCAGACATATACCTGAAATCAAAAATTAACTTTGATATAAGGATACTTGATATATAAATCAATTTTATATATAAATAATTGGTCATAGACTTACATCGTCCATAGTTGAATAATTGAAATATTCAACTCTTGTGTTCCCGACGCAAGCTCACGGACATCTTGGCTATTAAGGTATATTGGGACCTCAGAGCCATGCCCAAATACATTAGCATCATACTGAACCTCCAAAGGCTTATCATCAAGGATGTCAGCAAGTAGATGCAATGAAGAAAGAGGGTCATCCTCAGATAGAGGAATCTTCTGTTGTTCCTGCGTCTGTTGTTACATGAAAAGATAAGATAAGTTTTGACATCAAAAACCTTTAAAATTGAGAAGTGTAAAGAAGAATTTCATACCGAGGGGTCAGAAACTGGTTTAACCAAAAATTTAGGCCAAGTGATAAACGACTTATATGCTTGTTCCACAGTGAAAATCTCTTCCGTGGACAGTGGAACCGAGGCATCTGGCATGATCATTTCATCCACTGAGACCTTCACCTCATCCTCTAATAGTTGCATACCATGACATACAGTCGCTGACCTAAACTCTGTTCCACGAGCTACCAGCACCATCTCATCTTCTTCTAAAATGTATAGCAGACATGGACTACCATCGTCCATGTCATCCTCTGGGATGGCTGATGCGGAACAACTTCCTTTGCCGCTTCTCCCTGTCAGAGTAAATGTTAGATTATACAAGAGATAGAAATAATTGCACATAAATGTTTATTAAGTTTACCTGTGGGAGGGGGAGGGACCACATGTTCCTCTATAGGAGACTGCATCGGGCGCATGCTCTGAAACTGCTCCTGGTAGAGCATCTGGAATTCAGCCCTCACCTCGGCCCTGATCTCCTGCATAAGGTCTTGTCGGACCTTTTTTGTGATCTCTTCTGTCATCCTTTGTGTATCGCTGTACGAATATGAAGGCTGACGAGAAGAGCTCCCAAAATAATCCGTAATGCCTACTCCAGGACCTGCAGCACGTACACGTCCAGGGTGCTCAGGTCGTCCAATTGCAGCAGCAAGAATATCCTGGCGACCCTCTGGAGTGAATTGGCCTTGGGAGCTCTGCTCAACCAAGGCGTCCTGTAACATTACAAAACACCATTATTCTTTAAATAGTTTAATGTAGTATGTATAATGACAATATTTATTATTTTAGGAACAGTGATAACTTACAATTTTTTCAGAAATCTCTCGTGCAGTGTCGGAAGAGTAGGTGCCCGATGGTCGCATACGGGCCAACTTCCATTTCTCATGTCTAGACGGTGGAGAAGGAGGCTGAGGAGGGCTACCACTCTGAGATGGTGGTATAGCATCTGCCTTTTGCTTGAGGATTTTCTCCTCAAGCTTCCTATACCCACCACGAGATAATAGGTGGGGGTTTTTGTTCTTAGCACTTGTTCCTTGTGCTTTGCTTCTAATTGCCTGTCACATACACATTAATTAATGAGTTCATATGATATATATTTGTTAATGAGGAATTGAATAATATGAACTACACTAACCTGCCATTCCTCTGACATCCGACTCTCTTTAAAAACCCGCCAAGTCTCCTCATCAATGGACTTATATGCATTACATGGAGTTTTATGTTTAAGGTGTCCAAAGATGTACCTTGATGTCAACTTGCTTTTAAAGTTTCTGAAATTTTCTGCAACAGTTGACAAACACTTATTTCTAAGTGTTGGGACATTTGGAATGTCAAATGTCATCTGAAAAAAACATAATAAAGTTGTATTAGTACAAAATTATCAATATAAACAAATTATAATTCAAATGCTATTAACTAACTTACCAATATATCTTGCCAAATAATGTTCCGATCACCCTCGGACACATGATCAAAAGATGGAATGAGAATGCTAATCTTATCACGTGCCACTACTCCAAGGTATGATCGGAAGTCATCTGCATAGGGGCCAGTTGCCACACCCGTGGTGACATTCACATTCACCGGAGTTCTTTCACCACTATTTTTCCTGATTAATAGTTGTTTCATCCTAGTGGGTCCTCTAGTGGATCTGGGTGGGGGAGCCTCATCCCCTGAAGAATGTGGATGATCAGCCATATATCTGTCAAAATAAATAACAACATTAAATTTTCTTTCAAGACTTATGTAATATCATATAAATTAACAAAACATGTAATAGTATCCAAATTGAAAATTCATACATAAAGATATGGATTCATCATATGTATATTCCCTCATCATGATCTGACCGAATTGCATGTACATCATCGTCAACTACAGATTGGTCATCCAACTTTGTTGTAGTTTGAAATGAATGGTTGTCAGCAATATCAATATTAATTAGATTGTCTTCGTTAACTTCAATTTGTTTTTTGCCTTGAAGAGCAACATACCAATGGTCAGACGAAGGATCTTTGACATAAAAAACTTGAGATGGTTGATGTACCATGATAAACGGTTCGTCTCGATAACCCACCTTGCGAAAATCAACCAGTGTCATACCCGAGTCATCTATTTTCACACCACTCTTATTGTCAAACCACTTACACTTGAACAATGGAACGGAAAACTTGGTGTAATCAACCTCCCATATCTCTTCTATTATACCATAATATCTCATTGATCCAAGTACAGGAGATTGATCTTTTGATGTGGAAAATTGAAGTGACTCAGCTTCTAAACTGACTCCACTATTTTGTACTGTGCTTTTATCATCCAAAGTCTTCGTATAGAATGTGCAATTATTGACTTCATAACCTGTACAACACACGACATCAAACTTCAAACCATTTGCAAGCCACAATAAAGTTTCAGAAGAATGTGGCTCTTTGTCAATTTCAGATTTGAACCAAGACATAAATGTTTTGTTATGCTCCATCAATTGCCATTTCTCTGATTGTCTTGGATTTTTATTCTTAACAATGGCTTTGTGTGCTTCCAAAAAAGGGATCACCTCATCTGTGTTGTTCAATATATAAAGATGCGCTTGCAACAATTCTTCGCGATCTTTTGTCACCACATTGACACCTCGGATGCTTTTACTTGTAGAAAATTTATTCAACCATGCTGTGCGAGGAACTCCTATTGGATTCGTTGATGTCATGTAATCTGAACAAAACTCGATACTTTCTTCAGCAATATACCTTTCAATCATCGAACCTTCAGGACGATATGGATTTTTAACGTACCCTTTCAAAATCTTCATATAACGCTCAATAGGATACATCCATCTTAAGTATACCGGTCCGCACAACTTGATTTCTCTAACCAAATGAACAAGTAAATGTACCATGATGTCAAAAAAAGATGGAGGGAAAAACATCTCTAGTTGACACAAGATGATAACAATCTCGCCTTGAAGTTCATCTAACTTTGTAGGATCGATGGCTTTACTACATATTGACGAGAAAAATGAACACAACCTGTTTATGGTGTGCCTAACATTTTTGGGCAAAATTCCACGAATAGCCACCGGTAACAACTGTTGCATTAAGACGTGACAATCGTGAGACTTCATGCCAACAAGCTTTAAGTCCTGCATTGACACTAAACTCTTCATATTTGAAGAGTATCCTTGTGGTACTTTGATACTCTTTAAACATACACAAAAACTTATCTTCTCTTGTCTAGACATTGTGTAACATGCAGGGGGCAAATAAGTACGTTTACCAATCTCCTTGGGTGCCAACTCTTCTCGGATATTCATGTCAACCAAATCCAAACGAGCATTCACTCCATCTTTTGTCTTTCCCTGAATGTTGAGTAATGTACCAATCAAGCTATCACACACATTCTTTTCTACATGCATCACATCTATGCAATGTCGAACATCTAACTTTGACCAATATGGAAGATCAAAGAATATTGATTTCTTCTTCCAAGGGGTCGTTACAGATGACTTCTTCGATGTTTTCCCAAATACATGATGTATTTTATTAACTTTTTCAAGAACTTCAAGGCCAGTAAGTGGATTTGGTGCTTCGTCCCTCTCTTGATCTCCATTGAATGCTTTTTTTAACCTTCGATATGGATGATTACGTTTTAGAAATCTCCGATGACGCAGATACACCGTCTTTCTTCCATGTTTCAATTGATGAGCTGCAGTGTTTTCTTCACATATAGGACACGCTTTATGACCCTTGACACTGTATCCTGACAAATTACCATAAGCAGGAAAGTCATTAATGGTGCAAAATAACATTGCACGCATCATAAAAGTCTCTGAAGCGAATGCATCAAATATTTCAACCCCGTCAACCCACAAAACCTTCAAGTCTTCAACTAGTGGGCTTAGATAAACATCTATGTCATTTCCAGGCTGCTTTGGACCAGATATCATCATAGACAACATCATGTACTTCCTCTTCATGCACAATGCAGGAGATAAGTTGTAAATTATCAATATAACTGGCCAACAACTGTGATTGGTACTCAGATTACCAAATGGGTTCATTCCATCAGTGGCTAAACCAAGCCTAAGATTTCTACACTCTTTACCAAATTCGGGGAATTGTCGATCAATATTTTTCCATTGCTTTGAATCAGCTGGATGACGAAGCAGCCCGTCAATTTTTCTCTCATCTGCATGCCATCTAAGATTTTTAGCATCTTTGGGATTCGCAAACAAACGCTTAAGTCTGGGCACTATTGGAAGGTACCAAACTACTTTCAAAGCAGATCCATTTTTTTCTATCTGACCATTATCTTCACTATTGTTTTTTGACTTGTATCGTGATAAGCCACATTTTGGACACTTTGTCAAAAATTCAAACTCTTTCCTATACAAAATGCAGTCATTGGGACAAGCATGTATCCTTTTATACTCCATACCCATTGGACAAAGAATTTTCTTCGCATCATAATTACGAGTGGGCAGTGTATTTCCATCTGGCAACATTTCATTCAACAACGTCAACAGTTCTGTAAAACTCTTATCAGTCCATCCATTGCTCGCCTTCAAATTCATGAGCCTTAACACCGCTGATAAACGTGTGAACTTAGTTGAACCGACATACAAAGGTGTTTCCGCATCAGTCGACATCGTCTCATACACATGAGCTTTGGCAAAATTTTCTGCTCCAACATCGCGGATCATGTCCTCCAATTTGTCTTCATCCGGTCGATCTTCTTCCATGGTGGAATCAGTAACATTTACACTTTGAGAGTCAGTGGGAAAATCCATTTCTTCGCCGTGCCAGATCCATGTTGTATAGCATCTTAGAAAACCATCACATATAAGATGTTCTCTAATTTGAGTTGCGTTCAACTTTCTCCCATTCAAACAGTTCACACAAGGACATCTAAACTTCACTTCATCATCAGTTCTCCCCTCATTACGTTGCGCAAATTGTATAAATTCCTCTACACCTCTCTCGTACTCAGCACTAATACGTGGTAAATTAATCCAATTTCGATCCATATTCCTAAATATTACATAAAAAGATAAGCTACTAAAAATCAAACTTGCAATTTCATACATATCATTGAAACTTAGTGAATAATATTTTAAGGTTTATAAATAATACAAGAACTACAACACACATTACCAAAACTATAGCAAAAACCATACCATACATTACCAAAACTATAACAATTTCATGCATTATCAAAATTAAAGCAAAAATTATACCATACATTACCAAAACTATAGAAACTTCATACATTACCAAAACTATAGCATTATGCAAAAACTAATGAAGAAATCACGTTAAGAATGCAAAAGGGCATAAATACCTGGAAGAGGAACGGCGAAAACGCTTGGTGCAAAGAAAACGAAATCGCAGCGGAGAGGGAATGACGCGTTTCAAACGATTTTGATCGGCTAAAACTGTTTTTTCTCGTCAAAAATGAATAATGACCGAACAATATCAAGTTTAAACGGTGAAAAATGAGGAAACGGAGATGAACGGAGTCGGAGGGAGAAGAAAAACGCGAAACAGAGACGGGCACGCGAGGAAGACGACACTGTTCCAAGTTTTAATTTTTAACTCTGAACGGGGGAATCTACCGCGGTTCACTACTTAACCGCGGTATAATATAGGTATATGCCGCGGTTTCACGCCCAACCGCGGCATATACTTATTAAATAAATAATCCTAAATGGCATTTTTGAAATTATTTTCAAACTATATGCCGCGGTTCAGCGGGCAACCGCGGTATATACCTCGAAATATTTCAAATTCATATTAAATTAATTTCAGATAGGAGAATATGCCGCGGTTGCTCGTAGAACCGCGGCATATACCCTGTAATGTGCTCAACACAACTGTCTCCCCAACTGCCTTCTGGGGAATTTCAGAACTTACAGGGGGTATATGCCGCGGTTCTCTGGGCAACCGCGGCATATCCCCCTGTAACTTCTGAAATTCTCTGACTGGCAGAGAAGTTGAGACGTTACAGGGGGTATATGCCGCGGTTCTCTGAGCAACCGCGGCATATACCCCTGTAACTTTTCAAATTCTCTGACCCAGTCAGCACCTGCAATAAATTCGCAGGGGTATATGCCGCGGTTGCCCAGAGAACCGCGGCATATACTCTGTTATTTAATTTTTTATTCATACGTGGCGTCAAAGGCAATGGTTGACTGGAGTATATGCCGCGGTTCTGCTCCAAACCGCGGCATATATGTTCGATTTATTTACAAAACTGCCACCGCGCACCATTATGCTACGGTTTTCGTTGAACCGTGGCATAATGTGCACTGTAAAAACCCAATTTTTTACTAGTGTACTAATTAATTTTTCCTTTAATTATTATATTATAATCAAAAGTTATAATAATTGCGTGTTAAAGAAAATACTGCATACCAAAACAATGACAAAAGTATTATATATAGATATATTAAATTAAAATGAAGAAATAGAATTAATAGATTCTATTCTGATAATTTTGTTAATATTTTATCACTTTTATAGCAATTTTTATCTTTCGAAAGTCAACAAAAATATAACCAATATAAGATTATCTATATTCCTATTGTTTTATAATAATATGTGTTTCAGTAGGGATGTGGAGACCAAGATTCGAACCTAACAACTCTGGACTGCTTCCTCTTTGCACTGCTCTCATTGTGCTATTTCTCTTTCTCTTCTCTGCTTCTCTGAGTAAAGATGGGCTGGGTACCTGCAAAGGCACTCCGACGCTCAAGTCAACAGGGGTGTGATTAGATCAAGAAT